TTGCTCACTGATCTGTGTGTATTTGCATATCATTAGTATGTGACTCTATGGGCTTTGCTTTTGTTTTGGTCCATATGAATGTGTGTGGGGGGGAGTAGGTATTGACAGATGGCCTGCTCTCTGTCAACAGAGAGGAGCTGCTTAACCGAGAGAAAGAAAGAGAGGAAAAGGGAGAGAGTTGGCACTGTCCCGAGCTGCTTTGCCTTCCTTTTCACAGAGGGGTGTATTTATTTGGTCACAGTTTTTCTCCTCAAGTACTCGCTCCAAATCAATGTCAACTGTTTGTACTTCTTTGCTTACAAAGCTAAGCGCATCCCAATTTTTCTGTCTCTCTCTTCCCGTCTTATCTTTTCTACTTTTCCTCCTCATCCCCTAAATCAGACAGTGACAGGTGGAAGAGCTTCCTTCCATGCCAATGGCTCCGTTCCCTCCTTCTTTCTCTGCTCCCTGTCTCTTCCTGTGCCCGTCAAACAGAAAGAGTGCCAAGGCGCTCCCTATGAATTTCCTGCTTCAGGGTCTCATCCGATACAACTTGGCTGCTTGACATGTGCATTTTTCAGGCGCCTGAAACTCTCTGGAGGGCAAGGATTTACCTTAGGGGCTGTGGATGTAGGACAGGGGCATCAGACACTCACACATACAAAGAGATTGAGTTATATGGTGGGAATAACATGTTTTTATATTTAGTCACCAGTATTTATGGCTCTAGAGGGGTGTTTTCAGTTGAAATAAAACTTGATTGTGTTAGCATAATCGAAATAACACAATGGAAAGTGATGGATAAAAGCTTCAAATAGAATTACCTCTGAGCATATGGACAGCTAAGTAAAGTAAAAAGCCTTTGAGATCTAGGCTGTAATATAAACCTTATTTTATTGTATTGCCTCATAAAACAGTTTAGATTTAAGACTACAGTTACAGTCTGTGCTTCACAATAAAACCCATATGGATATAAAACGGTTGTTCCTGTATGTATGTTCCTGTGTGGAGTCTGGTTTCAGATTTCTGTCTTCAGGAGAAAAATGGTTTGTATTGATTGTGCCCCAACTTAAGATAACATTACTTTTGTTTTAACCTCTTCGAAACCACTGACCTCCATTGCTAGATACAAAGAAACTAAAAGTAGTAGTGGTGATGCCAAGGCTTTTAAAATTGTAAAAGGTCATGATGAGTGTGCAAGAGCAAGCAATGTTGAAGACATAAAAAAACCATATAATAGTTATCTCGGAGACTAAGGCAGATAAAACGTGACAGTGTCAACAACAACAATGGAACACATTTTCTCTATCTAACTTTCAAATATATTTAAGGGAAAGAGTACCTATGTTAATGTTTAGGTATATGTTAGCAAGTTAGCTAACATAATGCCTATACCTTTACATTGATATATATAAGTAACTGTTTTACTTTAAACGTTACTGTTGCAAACATTTACATGTATAAGTAGGAAACTGCTTGCTTGCTAATACTGTATACATGTTAGCGAGCTAGCAGTTGCCCACTTACATATATCCAACAGACTATTTTGGCATTTATTCAGAGTCATGTGTCTTCAAAGGAATTTTGAAAGAGTACCGTTTAAGGTATATGTGTCATTGTTAAAGGTAGTGGAGGTAAGTTTGAGAAACCGGCTCAAGATACACTTTTTGTTATATTCCATGGAATGCTCTTAACATCCCGATAGCAATGAATATCTCAAGTGCTTTGACAAAAAATCCATACAAAAATGTCATCTGTGGAAGCCGTAGTACTGTAAAAAGCACGACCAATCATTTTAGCCGGCCCGGCTAAAATAACTGGATGGCCTACCTGCCTGTCAGCCTTCCATCTGTGCACAAACTTATCTCGTGCCCTCATTGGTCATGTGCGCGTTCGTGTGTGTTGGAGGAGGGGCTCTATAAGGAAGTGGCAGATTTTCTCCGGTTGTGTATTTTCAAATTCTAGCGAGCTCGAGCTGGTTTCTCAAACTTACCTACCCTACCTTTAAGGTATATGTTAAATATACAATAGCATTGACTCATACCTTATACGTTACTGTTTTACTTTAGGTTAGCTTGCTAACGTATACTTGTTAGCAAGCTAGCAGATGCCTGCTTACACCTCCAACAGACAATTTAGCATTTATTCGAAGTGAATTGCCACTTATTAATACAAGTACGATATTCAGTAAAATGGGAACTTTAATTTGATCCTACTCCAAAGGGAAACAGATGGCTGTTGTTAAGCAGCTTAATGCTTGACTAAAAGGTCATTTGGCTTATTGTCCATAAAGATCTTTATTGGGTGCAGCTTTAAGGGGAGCATGAGGATCTGAAAGGTGGATGTTCTTTTCTGAACAAAGACATTGAGTCACATAAAAAGCTTCAATACTGTGAGACACAAATGGTGCCTACCTAATCCTGATGACCACAGGCTTCAGACTTAAATCCAAAATTGGATTGCATGTTACTCCGCAGTTCTCAACCACAGGGAATTCATTTCACTAAACCCCAAACCATATGGCATAAAGTCCCTGCTACTAATATCACTCAGCAAATTAGCAGACCCTTTGACTGATAAATAATAAGGTCAACAAATGATCAGCTGGGAGGGATTTGGCCAGGCTCATTTGATATTATGACTTTAGTTGAAATTGTACTCAAGCTTTAGCTAGGGGAAACTTTCCATGACCTATTTAACACCCACCTTCAGTCAAATGTAAATGCGTCTGATAGAATCAGGTTGAGAAAGCGAGAGAGGACAAAGATGGTCCCAGGCAGTCTAAGCTGCTGTTTCAGCTAGAGCCACTCGGCCTAATTATGCCTCTGTGACAGGAAGCCCCAGTGGGATGTTTCGTGGACACTGTTAAAAGGGTCAGGAGATTCAAAGTAAAGCGTGTCGCCCGTACAGTCCAGTTAAGCAGAGACTCCTCTGCGTCCTCTCATGGGACGGTGATAAAAACCTGAGTGCCCATTGTCTGCTTTAGCACTGTTGTCCTTTAAAGGTGGGGTAGGTAATTTTGGAGAAACCAGCTCGAGTTTGAAAATACACAACCGGAGAAAATCTACCACTTCCTTACAGAGCCCCTCCTCCAACACACACGAACGCGCACATGACCAATGAGGGCACGAGATAAGTTTGTGCACAGATGGAAGGCTGACAGGCAGGTAGGCCATTCAGTTATTTTAGCCGGGCCGGCTAAAATGATTGGTCGTACTTTTTACAGTATTACGGCTTCCACAGATGACATTTTTTTATGGATTTTTTGTCAAAGCACTTAAGATATTCATTGCTATCGGGATGTTAAGAGCATTCCATGGAATATAACAAAAAAAAAAGTGCCGGTTTTCTCAAACTTACCTACCCTCAGGACTCAGGGAGGAATCAATATAGTTTCAGTTTCAATATAGTTCAATATAGTTTCAATATATTGTTTATTTTAAGCGTTGCATAAGACTAACACATTGAGGGTCACAATCTGTTATTGCATCGTTTACATTTTCAGGTTTAAAAGATTATCATATTTGTATTTTGTGCCTATACTGTGACATGTTTACATGCTTGAATGTTTAAAAAGTGCTTTATTTTTCTCATACTGCCTGTGCTGCAGCACCTCTTTTCACCCTCTGTCTGAAACCAGAGCCCAGTCTGCTCTGAATGGTTAGCTGGCCGGCTCTGTGATTGGTCAACCGGATGTGTCGGAAATGTCCCGCCCTTTGGCATGTCTCGTACAATGTGTTGGAGCTCTAGCCAATAGAAGCGTGTTACATAGTGATGTCACAATGTTATGGAGGCGTATCAGGCAGGGAGAGAGAAACTCCCTTTGCAGGGAACTTTGGGATTTTAGCCTTTGCAGACCATTTACATGCACAAATACCTATATAACACAGGAAATGGAAAATCCCCGAAAAGCATAATAAGGTGTCTTCAACGATAAAATTCATATTGAAAAGCCTTTAATCGTCATTCCTTCTTATTCATTTCAAGAGGAAAAGATAAAAAAGATAACCAGAACAAACATGTGAGCACTTACGTGTCAGAAATCTAATTAGAAAATCTTTTATTTGTCCCACAGCGGGAAAATTAACAGCAACGGGACAGTGATAAAGAGGCAAAAACAGAGTTAGTAGACTAACATATTCAATTAAAAAGCAGTACAAGTAAATTCAAATAAGTACACATCCATGGTGTGAAGCAGCATGATGAAGAAAGTGAACAAAAATATACAGTAACTGTTGAACTAGCAGCCGGTAACAACATTAATAAATCTTCACCGTTTGAAGGAAATGGATAAAGCAGGCCTAAAAAAGACTGCGGCCATTGTGCCTAAACAGGAATATATGAACAAATACATTTTGCTCAGTCCTTTTAGGGTTATAGATTTAGTTTAGACTCTCTGGGATTTTTCAATCCCGCTGCAACTTTTTTTACTGGGAACAAATGCCTGCACCCCCCTGTGAGTCGCCAAAAAGAAGTCTCAAAATCAGTTCTTCATCATGCTGTGATTTACCCTCAGTGTTCTAAACCAAAATAAAGTATACCCTTCAGATGTTTCTGTCATTCTGTTGCTGTAAGTTAGAGTGGTTGTCTACCAGGCAGAATGTCGGGGTCCGATCATATCGATGTATACGTCGGCGAGATTACTGACCCCAATTAGCTCCCGATGGCATGGCAACAGTGTGTGAATGTTAGTCTCTCTGAGCAGGTGGCACCTTGAATGGCAGCCTCTGTATGAATGTGTGTGATTGGGTGAATGCTGATTTGTTTATGTGAAAGCCCTTTGAGGGGTCTTAAAAATTGGAAAGGGCTATATATATGAAACCCAATTTACCATTCTATCACATTTTATTAATGAGCCCTTTGGTTCAAGGACAATTTCTTAATGGGATGTAAACGATCTGTAGCTACTTGACATCCCACACCTACAGTATACGGCTGTCATCGGGTCGGACCTCTACTTTATATATGCAGAACTAATCGTGTTGATTTATTCATGTGTGTGTGTGTCTTTGTATCCCCAGGACCTGTCCACTCTACAGTGCGATGTGTGTATTCTGGTCTTCTCAGTGACTGACAGGCGAAGTTTCCACCGCACCGCCCAGCTCCGCCTCCTCCTCAGGGAGTCCCAGCCACACACACCAATCATCCTGGTGGGCAATAAGAGTGACCTTGTCCGCTCCCGTGAAATCAGCTCAGAGGGTAAGTACAGTGTTTGTAATGTGTACCTGCCATATACTGCCATACCCCTCCCCCTGAACAGCGATTGTCCAATCAAAGCTTAGCAACCATATAGGCTTGTCAGGTTTATCTACGTCAAGCTATTGATTTATTTGCAACCTGAAGCGAGGTACTGAGTATTTTAATTATGGATAGTGTCTTTTTTTAACCTTTCCAAAACAAAAACACAAGCAACTAGAATCACTGCCTTGTGCCAAAATGCCACCGTCATCCAGTCAAGTTGCAAAAAATGTATCAGTTATTCATCTTATCCGATCTGACATTTGTGTGAAATTGACTTAATAGGAGTAACATTATTTGAGTTATGGTCAAAAAACATGTTTTGTGAAGTCACAGTGACCTTCAGAATTCAAATAAGTTCATCCTTGAGTTCAGATGGATGTTTGTAGAAGGCATTCCTTAAAGGGGACCTATCATGCAAAATGCACTTTTGTACGTCTTTTATACATGAATATGTGTCCCCGGTGTTCCAGGGAACTCACCAAGTGTCAGAAAACACAACCCTCTCTATTTTCCTCCATACCCAAATCTCTAAAAAAGGGGCTGCAACGGATCTGATAAAAACTGATCCAGATTTGAACACTGTCCTGACGTCAGGACGGTGGCGCTACGGCTATTGGGCCAACTCCACCTATCAGGGGAATGTGGGGTTGGGCCACGGCCGGCCATTGCCGCTCGAAAGCGCTGGAGACGCTGTAGTACATATGCCAGGCCTGTAAGTGGCGCTGTAGTCTGCCACAAAAGCAGCGAAGAAGACTTCTCGCGCATGGTTGCCATGGTTACCCTTCTGTTTATTCTCCGCTGTGGCTTTCTTTCTCCCTCCCCGAGGCAAGCGTTTGCTCCCGCTGCTTTAATTCAATGCAATCCCTCCCCGTCGAGGCAAGCACTGTAATTCTCTCCGGTTAGTCCACCAGCAGATGACAAACACCCACCTCTCAGCCTCTTCCAAGGAACGAGGGGACCGTGTGGCAGAGTTTCAGTTAAGCCGGTCAAGATGTCCGTTAAAGTTTAAATCTTCCGGACAAAATTAGAAAAGTGCCGGTCAAAGGTCTTCTTTGTTATTTATTGAGCTTTAAAACAAATGAATAACGACTCTATATAATAATATAAGAATAAAACACAGAGGACGGAGATCTATTTTTCTCCCCCTCTTCTGACTTGATCAGAGCACGCTCCCCTCTCCTGCAGGGGGGCGTGGTCAGCTGCAGCTCACAGAATCAGCCCCCTGCAAAAACAGGGCTGGAGAACAGCAAATAGAGCGAAATGAGGCATGGCTAAAATGCATGATCTGTTTGGTATTTTGAAAACAGAAACGTATAAATATACCTTATATAGGTATGGCCCTACAATATATCATTTAAATATAGCATGATAGGTGTCCTTTAAACATTGCGTACATGAGAATGGGACGGAGATGAGGTCACAGAGACCTTAATAAAACCAATAAAAGAATAACCAATAAAATAATAACCAATAAAAGCTAATCAGTCCATCTTTGAGTCCATTGGGTTAAGTATTAGCTAACTTGTTCACTATCTAAAAAATGGAACCTAACCTAGCTTTACTTCCATGGTAAAAGACTTTTTTTTTGTGGGACTGGAGCAAAAAAACCAACATTTTGTACTAAAGTTTTTCTCTACTGTAAGTTGGTCCCAGTTGCATCGTCAGCAGTCCTGTCCTGCTGTTTATTGGATTTGCGGAAGTTTACTCTTCAGCAACCCAAGCCAAAATCATTATCCGTGACATCCAACAAAACTCGTTGATTAAAGGTATTTTGAACCTTAGAAGTACAGTATGTGCAGTGTGAAGGGCTAACAGGAGGAGGGCAAGGGGCTTCGCAAACCCTTTGTTTGCTTCTGACCAGACACAAGCCATGAAGAACAAATGCCGAGCTGCTAGGTGAATGATGTAAGATTTGAAATGATCTCCCTTCTTCGTTTCTTTTTAATGCCTTTCAAACAGCTCTGCAAATGGAACATCTCAAGTTGAACAGTTATTAAGTAATTACTGGTAGATCTTGGTGGTTTTTCACAGCTGGTTATAATGGATTTGGGGATTTATGTGGAGTTGGGCGCACACACATACAGACACATTTCCCCCTGGAGAGCAATTGTAATGTGCTTTGGGCAATTACTGATCTATCTAGCCTCTTTTCTTTCTCTCTGTCTTAGCTCATCTGTCTATCTGCCCTAGTATTTTACAATAAGTCTCCCTCAAGTTAACATGAGTCTCCATTAGAAAGACTCTTCGCCTTGGGGGGTGTATCTTTGATCAGTGAAATTAATTCCTGCTGCAATATCAAGGGATAAATGTTCTTCTGGTAAAATCCTTGTGGGAAGAAACTTCTATCAATTGTAAAGGGTTGGAAATAAAGAGACTGGAAATCGAATTCACCCCAATGGCCATTTAGTTTGACCCCATGAATCACACTGAGTGAGATAAGGCTTTTTGAAAAAGCTCTTTAGTGTGAGAAAGGGAAACAAATCTATAAACAATCAATGTTGGGTACAAATATGGACAGAAATGAATGTATTGCTCTAGTTTTAACTTGACATTTACGGTTCAAAGACAAAGCATCAACCTTCATTGGTTAGAAAACAAAATGTGGCTAGCTTAGTCAGGTGGCTTGGTCCACTTTAATATATCTTAAAGTATTAGGTAGAAATCTTAATGACTTTAGTTTCAACAATTGTTGGACAGATTTTCATAAAATGTGGTCTTAACACGTTCCCAACATGTTCCCAATGGGATGAATTGTAATCCTCTGACTTGTCATTAACATCATCATCCTATCAAAATAAGAGTTTGTCCAAGAATCTGTTTCATGACTAAATAATCACAATCCCCTTAGCCTCAGTGTTGTTTGTGCAATTAAACAAACACAAGTAAACCAACTTACCCAATCCTAAACAATAACATTCACTAAAAACTCTGCCTGCTAAACGTTAGCATGGTAGCAGTATCACTAACATTAGCATTTAGCTCTGTTTCAATTCTTCACGTCAGTTTACTATGAAATATGTAAATCATCGGTGGGTAATTTGGGGTGACCCAAATCATTTCGAGTCAATTATACCTCTGACAAACTAGATTTACATAAAGAGAAATATGAATTTAAACTAATCTGCCATGAGATGATTAAATAAGGTATAAACAAAATAGTGTGTAATGGATCCAAATGATCAACATTCATTAGGCTAATGGCTGAAACTGCTGCCAGAGTCGCTGCTATTGAATATTGATGGGGATGAATGATTAATGCACTTAATTATTTTCGGTTTTACATTTATATGCAATTTAAGTCCATGTGCGTGACATTTGTTTCTGTGAGAGGTGTATTTTTGGGGTTGAAAAATCTAATGTGATAAAAGAGAATAAACAAGCCCTTGGGGATGAAAATGTTTATAGACATTTGAAATTATTGATTAATTTAAAGGTCCCATGTCATGGCCATTTCTACTGATCATAATTCCATTGTTGAGGTCTACTAAAATAGATGTATATTGTGCAATTTTCCAAACTCACATTGGTTTCTCATACAGCATCTCTGTATAGTATGTGTATTCACTCTCTGTCCTCAACGGCTTGTTGGAGCTCCTGCCCCCCCCTCCCTGTGAGCCCAAAGAAGAAACAAATGGAAAATGAGAAATCTCCAACGAGGTGTTTTGGGGCAGCATAGACAGGTCTTTTCTGTGTTAGAGTTTTACTCGCTACAGGGTGTACTTTGAGGGTTTGTCACTCTGCAGTCCGTTTACATGCAGAAAAAGCTACATAACACACAAGGGGACGGGTAATAACCAGAAAAGCATGACATGGGACCTTTAAGAAAGAAAATGAATAAATCCTGTGAATCTAAGAACTCAATTTACTCTGGTAATCACTGTCAGCAGAGTCATTTGTCAACACAGAGTGGCAAGCCTTACAGAGTGATATATATTTTGGCATGCAACACTGGAGCAGGATCTTGGCAAAACAAATCCACTGAAGAAGAAACACACAGTGCTGTACTGAATCCAGTTAGTGATGCTTGAAAATCCCTTGAACAGAGATGTGACCACAGGCGGGGTATTCTTTCCCGGGACTATATGATTGATTTTTTTATTGTTCTATGTAGCACTGGCAAGCCATCCCATTGTCAGAATCTCATTTATGTTTCAAATAGAAAGTGGTGAGGACTGCAGTTGACAGCTTGCCCTTGATTTGAACTTGCATTCACAGTCTACATTCAGAATTCTAGAGCCTTCTCTGCATTTCCTCTTTGTACTCCCTACATGCATTCTGTCACGTAATTAGACATAACGACGTATATCTCCTGCTGCTGTTTCTCTATCCATCCCCATTCAATCCTCTAGAGTGGCTCCGTCTCTGTGTCCTTTGGGTCGTTGTATTCTTTTTTTGTTTTGTTTTTTTCCCAGATGGCGCATCTCTGTCGGGGATTATCTCCCGCTTACAGGACGCCGCTGTTCTTACTATCTTTATGTGCGTTTGTTCTAACCAAACGTGCACAACTGCCTGCATCTACACAGACAATTCAAACACACAAACAGGCACGTCCCTCCATCTTCCCGCTGCCTGGTGTCAGCAAGGCTGTTTCATAGCAAAGACTGTGATAAGAGGAAAGGGACTGTGTGTGAGAATGGTGTGTGTATGCACACGTCTCAAACAGCTGTGTGGAAAGGCATTGTGTGTGTGTGTGTGTGTGTGTGTGTGTGTGTGTGTGTGTGTGTGTGTGTGTGTGTGTGCGTTAGTGCGTGCGTGTGTGTGTATTGGGGAAGAGTGGAGCTTGTTTTGATGTCCTTGAAAGAACCACTTTGAGTTTTTAGACCTTTAGGCTGAGGATATTTAAAAAAAAGGGAGGCCATGCTGGTGTTTTTCACATCATATCTGGCTCTATATTTTTGAAATAGTTTGTTTTCAGCGGGGAAATTGCTAAATCATTCCCCCTAAACCTCTGCTCCGGG